CCACCCCACCCCATCACTTCCCAAACCTTACTCATTCCCGTCTCCCTTCTTTCTATATCCTCCTCGGGAAATGCTATTGGTACATAACATTTCCCATAAGGGTTCACATAAGGGCCATATGGTGCCTCTCCATTGGAAGGGCGCCTCGGCGGCAATGGAGAGGCCCCATGTGTCCCTTATGTGAAGGGGTATGTTGTGGGTTATGTACCCATAGCATAACCCATCCTCCTCATCCTCTCTTCTACACCTTTAGCACACATCGCCATCGGAGGCTGCCAACACCACTCGTCATCACCAGGTAAGCATCGCCGACCGCTGCAAAAGGGCGCTGCGTTGCCGTTCGCAGTAGCGCCCCGACAGAAAGTGCCGGTACGGCAACGCATCACCCCAACAGAGAGTGCCGACGCTATGTAAGGGCCAGCACCTCTGTGCAGTGGCGTAGTGGCAACTACTGCGCATAGCACCAAGCTAGGATTGCGACACTCTTCCTCCAATTGCAACGGTCGTGTAGCTGTGTAGTGGTACAGTACCGTTCTAGAGAGTTGCTATAGGATTGTTGACAAGGACGAGGATGAAGGTGATGTGATAGATCTGTGGAGTGGCTTCCAGCAAGGTGAAGAATATGGCGGTGGAATGGGTGACCGATTGTGGTTTGTGTTAAGGGTATGAGGTGGTGGTCTCAGTTGCTGTGATGAAGTCGTTGCATCATTGTCGCTGGTGCGCGAATTTGATTTTGAAACCGGATATGATTTTTTGGTGGTAGTTGTGATGTTGGCCTCGGTGGTGAGGTGGTGGTGATGTTGGCGGTGGTGGTGATGCTGGTGAAGTGGTGGTAATGTTGGTTGTGTTTATCGATGGTGGTTGTGGCGATGGTGTTGGCCGTAACGTTGATGGTAAGATGGTGTGGGTGACAACGACGGTGTTGGTGGTAGTATTGGTGTTGGCTTTAATACTGGAGGTGATTTTGTAGTTGAAAATGGTGGTTTGTTGGTGGTGGGGTGGTGTTGGTTTTGTAGTAGAAAATGGTAGTTAGTTGGAGGTAGCGTCGACGATGGCGTCCATGGTGTTGCTGGAAGGCAGTGGCGACGATGTTTGTGATCGTGCAACTGGAGGCAATGGTGAGGTGGGGGTCACACGTGTTGGTGGTAGTCACAAATTATTTGGTTGATTGTAACTAATAAATAATATATAACCTAAAAAATTGTTGATTTGTGATCAATAATTTGATAATTTTTTACCATGTAACAAATTATGATTTATAATTTGTGACTTGTGATCGATAAATAAATTGTGACTTATAATTTTTTTATTTATGGTCGATGAACAAATTGTGATAATGAAATTTTTGATATGTAATTGTGATATAATTTGTGACCTATAAATTTTTTTATTTGTGATCGAAAAATAATTTGTAACCAAATTGTATAGAATTGCAACCTTAATATATTTAATTTATAAAATGTATTTTTAATTAATTATTTCATAAATAAAATTTAATTAATATCTGATTTTTGAAATGTTAGACTTTGTATCTTAGTTTTGAAATGAGTGATATTTAACCTCTTACATTCAAAAATTTTATATATTATTATATGCTAACGGACAATTAACCAATTAATACCTCTAGTGGATCTCTTAGTACGATTCGAACCGAGATGAAGTTCTAATCATCTAAACGAATGGCACACACTCTACTACATGTTCCTTGAAGCTTAAAAATGTTCCCACGAGAAAAAAATTAAAACTCTTGCACGTCAAATCCCACTAAAATATCAATTGCACGCACATATTTGTATAGATGAGTCATAAAAATTTTCCGAAGAAAGATGTAGAATTTTTTCCGCTCTTACTGTTTGAGTAATTTTTAAAACTTATCTATTAAAAATATGCAATTACACAAATGTTTCTAAGTGAAATTCCACTAAAATATCATAAAGTCTATAAGAAAGTGGGTAATGTCAAGAGGACACACTCGGAATTTGAATGTTTAGGATTTCGTAAATTTCTAGCTTGTTTAAAGCACAAGGACAATGTAGCTAGAGTTATTGAAAGACCTCGATAGACAAATATACATTTAATGAAATTAAGAGCTTCTTTGGAATAGATTTTAATCCAATTAAAATTGAAAATATAGTCGTTATTGGGTCCCACTAGTCTAATAAAAGTCAACAATAACGGCTAATTTTTCAAGTTTAATCCGATTTTAATCTCTACCAAACAAGTTCTAGATAAACTTCANAAAATATAGCCGTTATTGAGTCCCAAATATAGCCATTATTGAGTCACACGCGTCTAATAAAAGTCAACAATAATAGCTAGTTTTTCAATTTTAATCCCTCCCAAACAAGCTTTAAGTCTCTTTTATTTGACTTAACAAAGAAATTGCATTTAGAGCTTGAAGCAAACATATATGAATAGAAATGACGAAGAAGCGTTTAGAGTGTGTTTGATTGGCTTTATTTTCCATGAAAAACATTATTTTTCCACCAAAATTCCTACTTTTGGAGTGTTTGATTGATAATTTTTTTCATGAAAAATATTTTCCAACTTTTGGTCATGTGAACATATTTTCTTCCAAAAAAAAAAACATTTTCTTTAGGGGAGATGTGACTTTCATTTCTCATGTAATTCACTATATCTTTTCTCTCTCTCTCATCTATCACAACTATTCATCAATAAAAAAAATGAACAAATATAATATTTTCTAGATTGAAAACTAAATCAATCAAACACATTTAATTAATAATTTCCGTACAAATATGTTCTAGGCATTTGAATTGCCTATAATTTATTTTCTTTATATATAAATTCCATGCTTGTAATCAAACCTCGAAAATATTATACTTGCCAATTTTTTATTGATGGGTAGATGAGAGAGAAGTGATAGATAAGAGAGATAATGAATTTCTTGACAAATAAAATCCTACCCTTCCTAACGAAAACATTTTTCTTGATTTTAAGGAAAATATGGTCATGTAACCAAAAATAGGAAAATGTTTTTCATGGAAAAATGTTAATGAAACAGCATAAAAGTAGAAATTTGGATGAGAAAAACACATTTTTCATGGAAAATATTGGCAATTAAACGCATCCTTAATGTAAATGTAATTAATTTATATAATTTTTTTATTATAATTTTTCCCCTGAATCAACAGTCCAGCCATGATAACTCTCATTGTTAGAAAATCCATAATCTAGTCCATCTGGAAAGGTGTGTACTCTGTTCTCCTGTAAAATAGAGTTATAATTTTGCATATCAGCTTCACACTTCATAATATTTGGATGACAAAAATCGATTTTATCTCCGTAACCTTTGAAGGTTGTTATTGATTGTTTCTGTAGATCTCCCTCCCCGTTTTGAGACTCGTCATTTGTCTCTTGAGATCAAAAACCTGAGAGGTATCAGTACAATCAAAGTAGGTTGTAGAGATTACTTCCCATACCGCGAAGCTAACTGCCAGAAGCTCACCCTTTGGGTGTCGCTTCCAGAACACGAGGCTAAGAATTCTGCTAGATGTACCGGCCTGGGAGCCCCGTCCGCCACCGCGTTTTAACCAAAAGAAGTTCTTACACAATTCATGCATTTCTGTCTTTATGACCAAAAATTGAGGTAGAAATGATTAAAGTCAAAACAACTCTTAACCACTCGTCCTCCTCTTGACAGCCACAGACGCAGCTACTTCAGCTGGTAGGCTGAACTCTAGGTGGCTAGGAAGTCTCACTAGACCAGCAGGCCTATGGAGATCCATGAACTCAATTGGAGGCAGGCGAACAGGAATCGACCGAGAACCCTGCTGCAAGAATTTACAGGTAAGTTCATTTACCAGCACTAGTTTGTACCTTGGCAAGCTGCAAGTCCAGAAGTGCATGATAAATACCACCAAAGCCCAATACTGCAGAGGTTTCACTGTTGGAAATCTGATGAAGTTAATAACACGACCATTCCACATTCTTAGTTCTCCATTTTCTGAAATTTGGATCAGTCAATTGGGGGTAGAAAATGCGCATTTATATATCCCAACTTGTCCTTGCTAGAGATATATATCTCGACAACTTGGGATCATAGTGCATAGCTGGTGTATCCAGCTTGATGCTGATCTATGCACCAGAATAAAGACCTGTTGTTTGAATCTGAGTCTGTAACCATTTGTGTCATTCTGGATGTGAGGTCTTCAATGATTGAATTCATGGAGGGATCAACTAGAGGTTGTTCTATTAGGGTCGTAGGTGTCAATGAAGATTACAAAGATTATACAAG